CCCCAAAACCCCAAAACCCCAAAACCCCAAAACCCCAAAACCCCAAAACCCCAAAAATTTGTGAGTAAATACCTTTTAGTAAAATTTATAAAAAATAAATGTTCGAAGAAGCCAGCCTCAAAGATTGGGAAATCTACTGGATCTACTTCTGCTGTATCATAGTCCTAATCCCAGTATGTGTCATGATCATAGATAAGAGCAGAGGCATGTTTTTGGCAGCTTATTCATTCATATTCGTGGCAACTGTTCCATGGAACTTGACCCACGGCTTCTCTGATGTTGATGATCAGATAATTTGGTCAGAGCTATCAGCTGAGTTTTTACAAGTCAAGAAAAAGGAACTATCAGGCTCAAAGGAGATTTATAAAGGAAGTAGGAAATGTATGTATTTGATGAATCATTCAACAATGGCGGATTTATTCCTCATAGATATCATCTTAGAATCTCGTACAAGCTACCTTGCTCGGTATGGAGTCATCTTGTTTTGCCCACTTCCAATGATGGTTACTCTCTTTACGAACTCTATATGGTTCTTTAAGAGAGGAGGCAGAGGAGAAGATTTAGAGCCATTTTTCCAATTCCTAGACCGTAACTTTAACTTTTTAATGACATCAAGAGCTCATCTCGGGTGCTTTCCTGAGGGCCATAGGAGTGTAAAGCCTTACATGCTTCCTTTAAAGACAGGAATGGTCAGATATGCTTATGAAAGAGAGCTTCTAGTCCAACCTATTGTGGCATTTGGCATTGAAAACGCTATGAGCGAATATACTTTCCGCTTGGATTGGACTAAAGGAGCCTTAATAGAGTACTACTCTTCAGATATAATAGATCCAAGGGATTATAAACCTGATGCGGACTCTAAAGTGCCAAAATCAGACCGAAATTTACAAGGATTCCATAAAACTGTGGAAAAAATCATTAACAAATCATTTGAAGAGAATCATGCCAAGGTAGATCCCACCAACAATAGGGAGAAATATCTCCGAGATGGTGAAGAGAGGGACTTGTACACCAATGCTCCCATTGGGTCTAAATGTGCAGCGATGAGGGAATATGTCACACAGAAAAGAAGGAAGAAGAGACATTAAGGTCTTTATCATCAATTATTTACTTTCTACCTTAATTGATTTAAAGGGGTTTTGGGGTTTTGGGGTTTTGGGGTTTTGGGG